GCGCCGGCCCCCGCGCGCGCCCCTCACCCCGCGGGCAGCTTCCCCAGCAGGTTCGTGATCGGGCGCTCGCGCGGGGAGGCCGTGGCCGAGCGCAGGAAGGAGGAGCTCAACGGCTACGTGTGGCACCTCATCCACGCGGCGCCCGAGGTGGCCGAGGTGAGGACGGGGCGGCGCGCGCGGCGCCGGCCACGCACGGCCTCCTCCGCTCACGGCCTCCGCTCACGGCCTCCGCCTCGCCCTGCAGTGCGACCTCGTCTACACCTTCTTCCACCCGCTGCCGCGGGACGAGAAGGCGGCCGGCACCAACGCGGCGCCGAAGGCCGCAGGTAGCCGGTCCCCTCCGCCGCGTGGGGCGGCCGCTCGCCTTCCCCTCGCTCCGGCTTCACCCCTTGTCCTTCACAGACGCCACGTGGGCTCGGCCCGTGGGCAAGGTGGGCGGCGAGGTGAAGCTCTCCATCTCCTACAAGAACAACAAGCTCTTCATCATGGTCATGCACATCCGCGGGCTGGTAGGTGGCCGCGGCGGCGCCCGTGGCCCTGTGGCCCGCGCCGGGGCTCACCGGCCGCCCCTGCCCCGCAGCAGCCGCTCCAGGACGGCAACGACCCCGACCCCTACGTCAAGACCTACCTGCTGCCCGACCCGCAGAAGACCACCAAGAGGAAAACCAAAGTGGCCCGGAAAACCTGCAACCCCACGTACAACGAGATGGTAGGAGCGGGCTCCAGGAGCCCGGAGGTGACACCGGTACCGGCCAACGTGGTGCCGTTGGGCTTTGGGAGCAGCTCCGCAGCTGAGGCTCCGCACCCGCAGCTCGTCTACGACGGGGTGCCCAAGGGTGACCTGCAGCAGCGCGAGCTGCGCCTCAGCGTCCTCAGCGAGGAAGGCTTCTGGGAGAACATCCTCCTGGGCGAGGTGGCCATCAAGCTGCGGGAGCTGGACCTGGCGCACGAGAAGATGGGCTGGTTCGCCCTGGGCTCGCGCGGCCACGGCACCCTCTGAGGAGCCGCCGCGTGCCGCCGGCGCGGGGGGACCCCCCAGCTCCAGGAGTTGTATCCCGGAGCCGGGGGCGGATTGCAGGGCCCGCCAGCGGCCACGCGGGGACTCGGCTCCCGCGGGGTTCCCCCATAGGGACCCCCATAGGGACGGGGGCTCCCCCATAGGGACGGGGCACCCGAGTCCCCAGCCGGGACGTGGAAAGCCGCAGTTGCCGCCTTCTTATTTTAAGTTTACCTTGTGTCAAGGGAGCAACACGGTGGTGGGGAGGGGGGACGGGGCGCACCGCTGGGGGCCTTTGGGGGGGGTCAGTTTCTTCCTTTGGGGGGATCTCAGTATTTTGGTTTTTTTATTATTATTATTAACGAGTAGCGCGCGCCCAGACGGGGCGGGAGGGCCGGGGCGGCGGCCGCCGGCCCGCGCGGACGCGCGCCTGGTGCCTGTGGTGCTTTGTTTACAGCGCGAGCTCCGTAAACGGATGAAACGTTTCTCAGGATCGAGAATAATGAACTTATCTTTATATTAAAAAAAAAGAGAAAAAAAGATAAAAAAAATTAAAAAAAAAAAAAAAAAAAAAACCCAAAGTTTTGAGTGCGGCGTCCAGCAGCAGAGGGAGTTTGGAGGGAAGTCGGGGGATATTTGGGGCTTCCAAAGCTCTGGAATTGGCATCCTCCTGGCTGTAACACTGGTATTAAAATAAAGGGGGTGACGCATCGTTTTTCCCCCTGGAAACCCCGAGGGGAAACAACGGCGTCCCTCGGTGGCCCCAGCACCGCCATGTCTCACCCGCCTCACCTATAACCAGGTGCTCTAGCCCCGTCTAAGATCCAGCTGGAGCCACCGCCTCATCCCGCCCCTCTCGCTCCCGGGCACTGTCACAATTTCTCCGGACGCGCTGTCGTGCCCAGGGTTTTTTCCCACAGCCGCTACCGCCAGCGCTGGCCTCAGGGCCGGCCTCGGCCCAGGGTGACCCTCCTTATCGCCGCAGGCCTTGCCTGCTGCCCTCGAGATAAGCCGCCTCTGGAACCGCAGCTGCGGCGGTTCCGAGGGCTGCCCGTCCCCTCGGGCCACACCGTGTCCAGTTCGCCGGGGTCGGCATGCTCTGGGGCTACCCGTCCCCTCGGCTCCTTGTCCCTCCGCCAGGATAGCACATCCTAGGATCGCCTCCCGGTCCCGGTCGCGGTCCCGGTCCCGGTCCGCGCCGTCGGGGCGCGACGCCCTGCAGCTCCGCGGCGCCGCCACAAGGGGCGCTGCTGCGCAGGCGCCGCTCCCCCCCGCCCCGCGGCTGATGCAATCCTCGCGCGGAGGAAAGGGTGGGAACCCGCTGGGGGCGGAGCCTCCGCCCTTAGCAACCATCCCGCCAGGGGGCGGGACCCTAGCGACGGCGCAGCGCCGCCCAATCGCCGCCGGCGCCGCGCCGTGACGTACAGCGCCTCCACCCCGCCCGCGGCTCGCGCGCCGGGGGGCGGCCCCG